GTATCATAAAATACAGAATTTACCATAAAATAACTAATTTATTTATGATTCTGATCATAGTAAAAAAAAAATAATTAATTATATTGATAACAAAAAAAAAGTGGAATACATTCAAAGTTATCAGATATTTACATAATAAGACAGATGAACACATATGAACGTATGTATGTAAGTGTACAGGAAATAACTAATATTTCGGATTACTAGCATTTTAAGCGATTCGTGATTTAAATATTTTTTTTAAGCTTTTACTCATCTAATTTCGAAATCAATAAATCTATTCCGGGAATAGGCCTAGGCAGACCTATAGGTTTTTTCTTAAAAACAAACCCCTCAACAAGTTTGAACTTAAAATTTCTAATTAGAATGCATATCAAAGTTTTAAATTCCAATTGAGCCAATTTTGAACCTATACAACTTTTATTTCCAGCACCAAAAGGTAAGAACATGAAATTTGTGATTTTAGCTTTTAATTCTGGATCAAACCATCGAGATGGATCAAATTCATGAACATTTTCACCCCAGATCAAGGGATTATGATGGATTGTACTAACAGAATTTGTAAGATTGTTCCCTAATGATAATTTAATGACAATTCAATGGCAATTTAAAGTTATAAATTAACATTAATTGATTCATATAAAGTTACTACAATTGATATTTAAAAAAGTACCTTTGGAATAATATAATTGTTAAATAATTCATCTTTTGTAGTCATGCGAAGTATTGATTGAGCTTAAAGTTCAAAAATTAATTAGATTTAGAAAATAAAGTTTAACACATGATATTTAATATTACCAGGCGGAATAACTCTGAGAGTTTCTTTGAAAACACAATCTAAATATTTTAGTTTTTCGATCTCATCAAAATTAGGGTGATGATCACTATCAGGAAACGCATTAATTAATTCTTCACGAAGTTGATCTTGACATTTTGGATTTTTTGCGAGAAAATATAATGCCCAAGATAATGATATACTAGTGGTTTCATGACCAGTAATGAGAAGCGTCTTAATCTAGGATTTAATGGATTTAAAGTTAAACCAATTTTATGCAAATTCGTAAAAGAAATTTCTAAAAATATTCATGGATTATAGAATGATACCCAGTATAAGCAAAAAAATTACGTTAGAGTAAGTTAGAATAAATTAGAATTAAAGTGTATTCATATGTACTGAACATTTTTACTTAAAATACCTACATATTGTTTTAAGATTTTGAGATATTCATGATTTTTGATTTTTTTCTTATACCGGGTATCATACCCACCAGGTACAAATAGAAACCATCTTTATAAAATTATGGAAATTATGATAATAAACCTGACATATTGGTTCATCATGTGTTAATCTTTCATTATCAGGTGCAATTTCATTAGCTTCTATCAATAATGATAATAAATCTTTTCCTCTAATTGGATTTTTTTTGTGTTCAATAACTAAATTTTCGGAAATTGTTCTAATAATTTTGAGAGAATTATTATAACGAACATTAAAACTGAATGGAAATTTTCTAATAAAAGGAAAGAGATCGATAAGAGCATTATATAATGGAGAGGTGGTATAAGTGCCGATTACATAGTATGCTTGTGCTAATTCAGATCCAGATGTAATAGAATTAAAGTCATAATTAAATCCTATTATATAAAAAAAAGTATTTAAAATTATTGGAATACACGTAGTAATTATGATTAAAATTCATAATAAAGTTAATAAAAACCAATTAATATAACAAATGTAAATCTATTCGTACCGACAAAACCAATAATATCTAGTGTTATTTTGTGAATTAATGAAGTAATTGAAATCTTTTCTTCTTTTTTGTCTAAAATTTGTTTCGTCCAACAATCCTTCAATCGTCGACCACCTTGAACAAATATTGGGACCATTTCCTTTATATTAGTAAATGTAAACAAAGGATTCATCAATTTTCTTTGTCGTTTATGGTCTTTTCCCTGAGCACGAATTAATCCACTTCCAAAAAAATCAGAATTTAAAGTTCTAGCCATAACACCTTGGCAGTCGTATGAATTTAGAATTGTTTGAACAAGTTTTGGATCAGTAATTACAAGTTGAGGTTTGTTAAACAATGTATGTAACCGGAAAATACCACCATATTGTTTAGCAAGGTGAATTAAGTTTTCATCGATCTAAAAATTTATTTAAAAAAATAAGAATACACTTTTGCGAATAATGAAAGTTATAAATTTTACCTTGTCTTTTAACAAAGAAGAATAATGACCAAGGATAAAACTATCAATAGGTGGGCCAGGAATTTTGCATAATGGTGACAAGTATAACGGATAGAAATAAAATTTATATAAAAGATAGCCAATTAACGTAAAAAAAATTGTGATAATACACAAGTAAAAATTCATTTTGAAAATTCAAGTTTCAGATAAATAAAAATTTGGAAATTTTAATATTTTCATTTGGTGCCACTATCTAATCTTTTCCAATCCATATATCCCATATTTCCACGATGCTAGCAAATAATGAATGCAGATAAATGTTATTTAGATAATGAGATGTTATTTGTACTGTCTTCCTCCTCTATAATCACGCAGTTTGTATCAAGAAAATCAGTGATTATAAAAGAGTGTGATTATATAGAAGTATTTTTTTATAAGTTTATTAATAAATCGTCTCAAAATTTAATGTGATTGCACAGGAGTTGTGATTATATAGGAGGTGATTATAGAGGAGGAAGACAGTAGTACATGTCTTATATAGTTATAATCTGCTGCGAATAAATAAACATTATGAGGTAAAATTAGGATCTGATTGGTCGGTGTCGTTCCTATGATGATCGCCGTATTACTCAAATACGTGTTGTTACCGTCACTACATTAGCGTTAGCTAAGTTTTTATGAATCTTCCGTGATCACACATAATAACTAAACGAATTATATAATTCATCGTGTTAATAAAAAACTAAGAATAAACCTTCAAAGCTTATAAATTAATAAATTATCTTGGGACATCGTTAATCAAAATCTAGTAAAGTGAAATTAAAAAAGGGCAAACAAGATTAATTATTGTACCAACATATTCGAAATAGTAGACCATTTATAAGCTTCAATATAGATAATTATTCAACGCCATTCAGTTATAATTAATTTTATAATTAATTTTATAAGAATTTTCACTATATATGTTTTGATAGACGATACTTCATCTCATGCGAATGATATATAGATACGTGAAGTTGATATTTATGTTGTAAGTGGGAACGGAATTTAAGCGGATTTGGAATCTCAATAAAATTATGATTTTGGGGTAGAATTTATAGATTCAAATTTATTAGTATACAAAATATACAATATATATACAACGATCTAAATCATTTCAACACATAAGTGTTTTACATGTTTAATATTTAGAAATAAGTTTAATTGCTAAACGGTATATATTTTTCTCTAATCTACGAATGACGAATAACGCGTGACGATGAGAGATTTATGTTTTCAACAATGGATAGATTCATGATTTCGATAGAAAGTAGGGGTCCATGATTTTAGCAGTAGTGGATTTGACGTGACTGAAGTTGGGATCCGACTAAAGTTGGAACTTCAGTTGACTGAAGTTGGTACCTGCCTAAAACAGCTAACTAAAGCGTGCAGGATGATCTAATTTCAGGGGCTAATTTCAGTCAGGTGCAACTTCAGTCAACTGAAGTTCCAACTTTAGTCGGATCCCAACTTTAGTCACGACAGATTCACGTTTTTAGTAAGTAAAAAGTAGTGAGTGGATTCGTAATTTAAAAAGTGATCTCAATAATAGGAAGATTTGTTGGTTTCAATAGTGGTTGGATTGGAGATTTCAACAGTATATGGTTTAGTGATTTTATTAATAGGCAGGCTAATAAATTCAATAAGTTGTGGGTTGTCGCTTTTATTGTAACGGAATAAATTTCAACAGTGTGGGTTCGTAATTTTAACGGTGGGTTCATGATTTGAGTAGTGGATGGGTTAATGACTTCAACAGTGGGTAGGTTCATGATTTCAACAGTGGGCAGATTCATGATTTCAGTAGCGTGGGTTCATACTTTCAGGGTGAGATTCTGACTTCAATAGTTGCGGGTTCATCATTTCAGCAGCATATATTCGTGGTTTCAACGGTGGATTGACTCGTAATTTTAATAGTTGTGAATTTCCAACAGTACTGTAGATATGGATCACGATTTTAGCGGATAAGCGGTGAATTCAATTGTGGGTGATGGGCTCATGATTTTAATATGGATATGTTTGTGATTTTAATAGCTGATGGATTCACGATTTTAATAATAAGTGGATCCAAGATTTCAAACAGTGGGTAGGTTTATGTTTTTACTAGTGATTTTATCCTTCTAAATCTGCTTAATGAGATCTGCACATTATTACTATGATTACTTTTTGATATGTGCTT